TACAACTCCCTGCAGGGAGGGTGCAGTCAGGTGCGGTCGGGCTCTTCTCCTGGGCACCCAGTGACAGGACAAGAGGGCTCAGCCTGAAACTGCGTCAGGGGAGGTTTAGGTTGGATCTCAGGCAGCCCTTCCTCATGGAGAGGGTGCTCAGGCACTGGGATGCTCTGCCCAGGGAAGTGGTGAAGAGACAACAGAGCAGGGCATAAGCAAACCAGGAGATTCCTGGAATGCATTGATGGTAACTTCACCAGGAGCAGGGACAGAGCAATGCAGCCAGATTGGCCAGTGGAGTATTCCACTTCATATGACATTATACTCAGTATATACATGAGGGTTAGACAGGAGGGCTGAGGCTCTCACTTCGGTGATCGTGATTTGAGGATTTTGCTTTCTGGGATCACTACCTGGAACACGCTGGTCCTCGGTCGGTGGGTGGTGAGCAATTGCATTACACATTACTTATTTGTATTTTCTATCATTACTATCATTATTGCTGTAATTATTTTATTCCTGCTCCGTCCCCATGTGTTGCCTGGTCTAGTCGAGAGGTGACATCCCTGCCCATGACAGGGAGGTTAGACTAGATGATCTCTAAGGTCCCTTCCAGCCTAGGCCATTCTATGATTCTATGATTTTATTGTTTTATTTTATTATTTCAATTATTAAACTGTTCTTATCTCAACCCATGAGTTTTACTCTTTTTTTACTCCGATTCTCTTCCCCATCCCACTAGGGGGGGGGAAGAGAGAGTGAGTGGCTGTGTGGGGATTAGTTGCTGGCCGGGGTTAAATCACAACAGCTGGTTGTCTCAGAAAAGCTGAAATTAAGGAGAAGTTGATATTTTAAATTGTTGCCCTCTGGGGGCAAAAAAATCCAGTTAGGATCGTCACACTCCAGTCATGCAACAGACACACAGGAATCAGTAAAGTGAATGCTAAGCAACAAAAATTTATTTTTTGCACAATACATTGGGAATTACTTTACATTATAAAGCTTTTTGCATTCAAAATGGAAGGTGCATGAGGCTTTGTAGCAGGATCTGCTGGTTTTAGCTGTAAGGGGATTCAAAACAAGTTCCTAGGTTTAGAAGAGGTTTTCATCACTCTTGAATGGACAGTCCATGAAGTTTTTCTTCATTTACACTCCAAAACCTGCACCAAGGAAACAAATAAGAAAAAAAACGTTCAGATTCTCCTTACACTTGCATTCACTCCCTATTTGCTCTCAGTCCATGTAAATTTTCCTCTTCCAAAATACCTAAGGGTATGTATAGTCATGCTGAGACAGCCCTGTGTGCTCATACCTTTGAGTAAGAGTGTTTTCCTATTGCTTCAGGAAAAACAGGGAATTAAACCAGTATCCCTTGATATTGAGGTGATTACAATATTTTTTTTTTTTACCTTCACTTACACACAGTTCTGTATGAGAAAATTTCAACAATGAAGGTTCCTGCAAAAAGTGTGAGGATTATTTGGAATGGCCTGAATATTTTACGACAGTAGCTTTTTTGTCAGCACAAAGAAGCAAGGATCCAAGTTCTCAAGTTGGTGCCTGTATTGTAAACTCGGAAAACAAGATTGTTGGAATTGGATGCAATGGGATGCCTAATGGCGGCAGTGATGATGTACTACCCTGGGCAAGGACAGCAGCTCATAAATTAGACATAAAAATAACTTCCTTTATGCCTGGGTGATGAACTTTGCACATTTATTACATGGAAATAAGGCAACGTACATGCTGCAGCATGGATTTTTTACAACCATACCAGTTTTTTTTACAACTGCACTTGTTTCATGCATCTCATGGCTCTCAGAGATCTGTGTTCACCCTGCATCCTCCTCTCCACAGAGCACAGCAGCCCTGTTCTGCAATTACCAAACCCTGGTATGATATTTTGCTCCTGCACAGGAGCTGTAAAATGGTCAAGCAGAGTTGGGTCAGCACAAGGCTGACATCTCCATCCATATTATACCCTTCATGCTGGGACAGATCATGGTGCACATCTCAGGAAAAAAGAGCACCACGGAGCTCAACTTACTTCAATGTTTTACGGTCCTCATCATGTAATAGCTGTTTGGGTTTTTTTTTTCCCTTTTATCCAACCTGAACCTTCAATAGCACCTTGAGGTTAAGGACACAAGCAAAATGGGTTTGTCTGTTCATATCGAAGATAAGCCTTAGTAAATGTCAAACTCACGGTTTGCAGCAGCTACGGAACCCAAAGCAACTTCCAACTTTAACAAGATGGATGGGACATTGTCCAAAGTAGCAGGAGCCATGTCTACAGAAAAGCATGTCCCGACGGGGTAAAGAAAAACCTGCAAAAAACCCAAAAACATTCCTTCTCTCTCATTCTGCAGGGCAGGGCAATGCAGCCATGACGCAGCAGAGTTTCCCAAACACCGAACTGCTTTCACCACCAACTTACCTTAAGGACTGACGTCCAGATGTGGCCATGTTGAAAGGCCATGTAAGAAGTGAGATTACAAAGAAATCTTAATTTCTCCCTCTTTGGAAGAGTTTTCATAGGGGAGCACAGGCCCTGAGCTGTTTTACTAACTCCTCCTCATTTTCTAGCAATTTTAACCAGTAGTGGATAAAATGTGAGAGGGTTACTTCAGGTGCACAAAAACTCCCTTCTAGCATCTCTTACCTGGAGAAGCCAAGAGGAGGAGAGAAAAGAGCAGGTAAAGGAACTTCATGACTGTGGATTTTCTGGTTCACTGTAGGGAAAAAAAAAAATTATTATAGATAGTCCCTGGTATCTACAGTCTTCTCACACATACAAATACTGTGTTAATCGAAAATAACCTTTTTCTTCAAATTTTCAAAAATAGCCAGTAAGACTCATATGACATGGCTTCTGTCTGAGCCTTTCTGGGAAAAATTATATACATATGGAGCAACATTCTTTCAAGATATGTGATCGTTAAGTTATTTAAATAGTTTGGTTTTTTGGATTTCTTTCACATTTTGCAAACAGACCTTAGCTAAAATGCAATCATAGCTTTATTTTTAGTTAAATGTTTTATCTAATGAATAACAACTCTAAGCAAAATGAGGTGATTATTCAGACAAACTTAAGAAATTCAGAAGGAAAAAAATACTAATTTTGCAATGTTAAAATTCGTAAATAACAGATAAAATCAATTTGCTCAAAATCTTCAGTCTCAGTCGGCAGGCGGTAGTTCTAGAATGGAAATGTCCAACCAAACCAATTCCCATTGGATAAATGAAATTTGAAAACCAAACATGTAATTTCAACAAAAGGAGATAGAATAGCCTAGAAGAGGGCTTACGAGTGCAGAACAGGTAGCTGATGTCATATATCTTGCCATTCGAGAATCTTCTGATCTAACAGAAATTAGGCTCTCTTAAAAGCACGAAAGGGAAATGGGATTGTGCTGAAATAACATATTTTTGCAAACAAAATAGTAAAGGGTGCTCTAAGCAGCTTTGAAGTTTGTACTAGAAGTTTACACAAATTTCCATATATTTGAAAATATTAGGAGAAACAAGCAGGCAAGGTTAACAGTTCTGAAAATGAAATAAAGCTGTTAACGTAAAGACACAGATAAAAATGTATATACTGATTTCCATCAAAGAGACCACCAATTTCTCTTGACCACAGTCCTCTCTAAAGTGACCCGAGCCAGGTAGACTTTCTCCCAGAAGTTAGTAAACAAAGATATTTTTTCAAGGTATTCTAGGTATTAGTCCATATTTGAAATACTTATCCAACCTGTGCAATTTCTGGAAAACTTGAGTTAATCTTTTCTTTAGCAACCTACAAATTTAGACTACTAATGCAGAGATTTTAAGTTTTGATGAGTGTTTCTGAGAAAAAAACCAAACAAACATCAGACATTGAAAGAAAGACTGAAAAGAACTGTAAAGTTACCAGGTACCAGGTGAGTCCAGAAGCCAAACAAGACCTGCTCTTGGTCCCTTCCCTCAAGGGGTTTTGTTTGTGGCGATGAGACCCTCTTTTATAATGTGTTCCCTGAGGGGAGTGACAGCTGCTTTCTCTTCTCAGCAACTCCATGGCGAACCAATCAGAAAATTGCCCAATGTTTTGGGGTGACTTCTAATCCAATCACAATCAAGTTTCTCTTCATTCCCCAGTAAAAAAGCAGGCTCTCGCTCCAAACCTGTTGAAGTTTTTCTTCTGGAAAATCCCAGGTTGTGCATGCAATGCCTCTTGTGACACTCCAGTTTGTGTAAGATACGTTAAACCACTCTGGTATGTGTCAAACATCTTGGGACATATGTTGAACTGTCCCTGCTTAGGAGCAACATAATCCCTTGCAATATCAAACATCTGCCTGCTTCTCTGCACTCCCAGTTGGTTTCATAAATACAGAATATAAGAACATAGAGTGGACATATGAAACTGAAATGAATGTCCATTGGCTTAGTGGTCAGCGGCCATGAAGGACGTCTAAGCAAAGAACATAAAATATGAAGAAATAAAATCCTAGAATAGAATTGAAGAATGATTTGGGTTGGAAGGGACCTTTCAAGGTCATCTAGTCGAATCCCCCTGCAGTGAGCAGGGACATCTTTACTAGATCAGGTTGCTCAGAGCTCCATCAAGCCTGACCTTGAATGTCTCCAGGGATGGGGCATCCACCAACTCTTTGGGCAACCTCTGCCAGGGTTTCACCACCCTCACTGTAAAGAATTTCTTCCATATATCTAGTTTGAATCTACCCTCTTTTAGTTTAAAGCCGTTACCCTTAGCCCTAGGGTGAGTGCATTGTGGTTGTGCCCCTGTACACCCTTCCAGCTGATGGAAAATACATCAGTTTAGTGAAATCCAGTGCCAGAGACTGTCCCCAGACCCTCAGGCTGCAGAGCTTCTGAATGAGCATTTTTCCATGACTCCAGCTATTCTTGTACTTCTAACTTCCACAGGACCTTCAGTTTATAATTTCACAAACATGTTACACCTGAGGTGAGCATTCAAATTTTTCTCTCGTTCCGCCAGCTGATCATCTCTGCTTTTTCTGTTGTGGGAAGCAGCAAACATATTTAATTTTCACTTCTCTGCCTCACTACTGATGTTGTGTTTTTTTGATTGCCACCCCCATCCCCCCCCCCCCCCCCCCACCTCCTTTTTTTTCTCCA